TAAATATAATAAGGAGAAGATTGAGGGATACACAGGATCCATTTGATATCTCGGATAATACATTTCTCAAATTGTACAGGTATATAGATACAAATAAATTATATTTTATTTTTGATTTAGAATTAGACAATATAAAAAAATATTATGAACAAAATAAATATTAAATATTTTAGAGAAATAAAAAAAATTGGTATATATAGATATCAAACGTAACGCACAATGGATATAAATTCATATGACATATTTATATTTTATATCTTATTTGTATCTACATTATCCGTCCAAAATCGGGGTGTTGTTGCATGAAACGGATCATTAAGTCTTTTTGTTTCTCAGTAACGTTCATTATTTTCAAATTATAATGAATTATAATGATAAAAATAATATTGGAACACAGCCGATTGTACTTGGTTATATATGATAATACAATATGATATACAAACATTCGACCATTGCTCGCACTCACATCTCACATCTGTGATTTTCACTCTCGTGAGCCTAAGGATATCGCATTTTCACTACGCTTATAGCCAATCGCGCGTATTTTTTCATGTGAGATGAAAATACGAGAGGCGAGGAAAGTCGACAAAGATACACAATCGACCCCCTGTACCGGTGGAACACGTTTGCGGCGGGGGGGGCCGCCATATTCGTTTAGTAATCACCACACATAGAACTCACTATTTGCGTATATGTGAGAAATGAAAGTCAGGGGGTCATTGTGTATTTCAAAACCTAGTAAAAATAACGAAAGTGAACATTCACTTGATTGTGTAAATTTCACTATAGTGAAAATGCGAATTATTTCACGTGAGATTATTCGACAAGTATTTAGATGTCGTATTCAGTCAAATTGTGTCGAATTTGCATCGTATTGTGCAGTCTCACGGAGCCAGCGTATAAAAAATGGATTTGGTTATGTTGCTGATGATAGAAGAAAATGAGAGAGATAGGAATAAAAGGCAGCAAAGAAATTTAAATATAATAAGGAGAAGATTGAGGGATACACAGGATCCATTTGATATCTCGGATAATACATTTCTCAAATTGTACAGGTATATAGATACAAATAAATTATATTTTATTTTTGATTTAGAATTAGACAATATAAAAAAATATTATGAACAAAATAAATATTAAATATTTTAGAGAAATAAAAAAAATTGGTATATATAGATATCAAACGTAACGCACAATGGATATAAATTTATATGACACATTTATACTTTATATCTTATTTGTATCTACATTATTCGTCCAAAATCGGGGTGTTGTTGCATGAAACGGATCATTAAGTCTTTTTGTTTCTCAGTAACGTTCATTATTTTCAAATTATAATGAATTATAATGATAAAAATAATATTGGAACACAGCCGATTGTACTTGGTTATATATGATAATACAATATGATATACAAACATTCGACCATTGCTCGCACTCACATCTCACATCTGTGATTTTCACTCTCGTGAGCCTAGGGATATCGCATTTTCACTACGCTTATAGCCAATCGCGCGTATTTTTTTATGTGAGATGAAAATACGAGAGGCGAGGAAAGTCGACAAAGATACACAATCGACTCCCTGGTCTCGTCAAACCTGAGATTATACGCGCGCGATAGAAGTGCGTACGTATCACTTCCGTACGTTTGAGTCAAACCTGAGATTATACGTGTGCGAATAATACTGCAAAAGATATTATAGGATTGATCTCAGTATTTAACGGATAATCACAGTAGAATGAGTATGAAAATGGGATGATACGCAGGATATCGTGTGCTGTTAGGGTATATCCAATGATAATGTGTTGATGTATACACATTTAACAGCAAAATTAAAGCATCACCCGTTCTGCCCTCCAAATTTCAAGAGAATTTATAACTTCGTCAAAAGTAGGCATAATAAAATGTTCAGAGAAGCATTTTACAACTTGAAAGCTTTACTTTTGAGATCGGTATTTTAGTAAATGCTTACAATACAATACTTTTACACGATTTGAGCGCAGAGCGAGTTCTTTGATCCGCGCCCTCAATTATTATCTCATTTATTGTTTGAAAATAAAATAGTTATGTTTTGAAAGTACTTTCAAAATATTTACTATTTGTCAATCGTTTTTCATTACTTTATTTTTAGGGAATATTAAATTAGAAAAATGGACTGTCAATTCATTTCGTCGTGCTGGTCTGTGTGCAGATCATTTAATGCTAACTTATTTAAGGGAGAAGACAAGAAAACATTAAAACGCGATGCTGTGCCAATTCGATTTAATGATTTGATAAATTTACAAGAAAAATCTGAGGCAGCTATGGAAATAGGAGAGATGCAAAGAGCAAAAAAAGAACAAAACCAAATATTAGGACCTTGAATAAGTTCTCGCTGTTTTTTTTGTTAAAAAACACATTAATTTAAAATATAAGGCTTACAATAACTTTACTCAAAGTATTGTCCATCATTAGAGACCATTTTCTCCCATCTTTCTGGCAGTAATTGAATCCCCCGTCCGAAAAAACGAATTCATCTTTTGTACGCAATCCATGAATCGACCCATTTTTCGGTTTCTTCGAAAGAATGGAAGCGCTGCTCGCTCAAACCATGCGCCATCGACCGAAACAAGTGGTAAATCCGAGGGGGCTATGTCCGGTGAATACAGCGGGTGA